ACATACAGTGAGTCTGTGGAAAATAGCTGTCGGTACGTCTGTGAAGTTCCGTGTATACCTAATGCCCGGCTGGTCAGAATCGATGCATGGCGCGGTAACTTATACCATAAGAAACACACATGTTTGAACGGCCTTCTGGCACATAACTTGGGTGTTATAATTCATTACATTAAATTACTTGACAGTATATGAATGTAAGGAGCTCCACAAGCAGAAATCAACACTGCCATTTGACCGGATCTTTACCCTACCTACGGGACCGTTTAAGCAGACCAGGTCTGTATAGCAGAACTACGTGCTGCTATAGCAAACAAAACGACGCAAGAGACATCTGTAACTGCAAAAGCTAATATACCATGGAGTCGTGGACTACTTATATGCCACCCCTCTCCATCTAAGCAACGAGAAAGAAGGGTACGGTGCAATAAAGCGTGAAATCCAAATCTGGAGGTACTATACGGTATTTTGTCAATTACCAAAGAATGTTTAGGTAATTGCAATTACACAGGAAAAAAACTTTCCCGCGGAAGAAACCAGAATGTTACAGCCGTTCATCATCTGTCGCGTGATACTAAAAGAGATAAGCAATTTCAAAATGTCGTAGTTTGCTCCGCATTTTACTGGCGGCAGGAAAGACCGAATGGCATGAAAGGTTTACGGAAGAAATCAGGCAGGAACATTAAATTAACGCCCACAAACATTATGAACACTGGGGAAAGAGTGAAAAATTTCAGGAATAGCGAAAACTTTCAAGAAATCCAGTAAGTCAAGCTTTTACAGCCACTGGTTAATCTATACAAATCATTGCAAAATTAGTAAATGAATTCATTTTACATTATGCGAGCAGTTAACAGGTGAAGAACCATACACAGAAGTTGGTGGTTCATACAGCACAAAAATAAGTTCATCATTCCATGATCCTTTTGACGAGACGTTCACTCCACGGTCTTCATATTCTGCACGGAGACTCCACACATTCATTCAACTGCGGATTTGAGACACGTCAGAGTCATATCTGGCTCACCGTCAAGATTTACCGATAAAAACAAACTATCAAAGCAAAATGTAGGGCAAAGCATTCGGCATCCATTCGGTTTCACTATTCCTATTTGTAGGCTA